GCGCTGCGGGCGCGACGGCGAGCGCGGTGGGGCACGGCGGCGGGCGCGGCTGCGGGTGCGACGGCGGGCATTGTGGGGAATGGCGGTGGGTGCAGCGGCGAGCGCTGCGCTGCAGGGCGGAGGGGGCGACGGCGGGCGCTGCGTGGCGCGGCTGCGGGCTCGAGGCGGGGCGCGGTGATGGCGCGCACGAGCTCGAGGCGGCGGCGACAGCTGCGGGGCATGGCATGGCGCGACGAGCAGAGTGCGGGCACGGTATCAGGGCGAGGCGGCAAGCTGCCAGGTGGCTGTCGGGCGCGCACGAGCTCATGCCGCAGCAGCAGGAGAGCCGCCGAGCCAGGCCATCGGAGCCCTGTGCGTGTGCTGCGCGCTAGGCACGTGCGTGCCGCGGCGTGTGCTACCGCACGCTGGGCGCCGCCACAGCATGCTTCGTGTGTGTGTGTGTGTGTGTGCAGACGCATGATGGGTGCATGCAGGCCGAGCACAGCAGGGTGCTGCCGGCGGCGGCGTCCACGCCTGCCAGGTGTTTGAAGAAATGTCGAGGGCGGACATCACGAAATGGAGCAGAAATGGAGCAGCGCCGTTGGGTGCAGAGGCCCGTTTTGGGTCTAGCGTTGGAGTTGCCCTTATGATCTAATCTCAACCCCACGTCTAAGATCTTCCTGTACGTCCACATCATAGACGTGAGAGGGAGTGTTAAAATATGTTGCCTCGTTATTTCTATATGTTCGGATTTTTGAGAAACTTGGCTAGCGCATCAGTTCAATAATCATATATATTTTTTATTCTTTTATCTAGCGAGATCTTTTTTTTATCTAAAACGACGACGCATTGCCTTGACTGCAGGTCTATTTTGGGAAAACCAGGGAAATGGTTTGCACTCTTAGGCCACCGCCTGAAGTACTTAACATGAGACTACCCGACAGCTGATCAGATAAATTGATAGCAATGCCAATTTAACATGGCGTTTTATCTCTAGTGTCATATCACTTTCCGCATCTGTATCTGTATTTAATCACAACAGAGTTTTCTTGTCCTTTGACGTGTGATGACGAACTGGGTATTGCAATCGATGCCGGCTGCGAAATATATATCTTAGTAAAATCCTGTCAGTTCTACATATTATTGCCTAAATTTAAGCTATTTCGGGCCTGTTTGATTCATGACCAACTTTGCCACAAGTAATATTAGAACTAATAGCACCGGAGGTCCTGGAACTTGTTTTAGAGGCCCTAGACCTTGTTATGTGATAACTTTTTATGTGATACTCCCTCCTTTCATCTATATAGGGTCTAATGCGTTTTTCGAGGCTAACTTTGACCAAATGTTAGAGCAACAATATATGACTTGCAACTTACACAAAGCACGTCGTCAAATTCGTATGTGAAAGGAGATTTCAATGATATAATTTTCACATTATGCATGTCATGTACTATTAATCTTGTCAATAGTCAAAGACCGTCTTGAAAAACACATTAGACCTTATGTATTATTAATCTTGTCAATAGTCAAAGGCCGTCTTGAAAAACACATTAGACCTTATATAGATGGAAGGAGGGAGTAACTTTTTTAGAGAAAAAGCATGCGTCCAACTTTATAGATAAAGCCACCAGACAAAGTTTCAACCAACACAATCAACCAACCAAACAAGAAAACGAAAGTACGCCTCAAACAAGGGATCACCTGAAGTTAAGATACATGGCTCCTAGGCCAGTACACGGCACGTAGGCCGGAGAGAAGGATACGACCTAGCTGCTAGCAACTAGTCCAAGCAACGCAAAAAACAGCTAAGCAACATGCTCCTGTTTGGAAAGGGAAGACGTCGAGGCCGGCACTTTAGAAATCATCAGATCAAGAGCATCATGGTCCTCCGTCTTAGTCAATGATCTCCATTGCTGCAAGAGGATACAAGATTTAAATAAGCGGTCAGCAGGCTTAGCAGGAAAAACATGCTTAATGGTAAACTTGTTTCTAGTCGTTCACAGGCCCAACAAACCACTCCAAGTCCTACACAAAAGACCCTTTTAGTAACACCATTCAACGACCGGGCAAGGACCCGGAGCCTAGAGAAAGACAAGGGATCCCATGTGACCTGTAGCCACGATCTAACACAACTCCAAACCAGCTTGGCCAAAACACAATGAAAAAAGATATGATTCATATCCTCCAGAGCACCACAAAGGGCGCATAATTCTGATCCAGGGCCGTTCCTCTTACGAATTTGGTCCGCTGCGGGCAAACGCCCTCTAAAAGATTGCTAGAGGAATATCTTGATTTTAGGAGGGATGCAGGCCCGCCGGACCTGAGAAAATCTGTTGGTGGGAGTGCCACCAACGAGCTTAGAATATAGAGACTTAACCGAAAAGCGACCAGACGAGGTATGGGGCGAGACTACCGAGTCCACGTTCTCCGAGAGCGGGGGGAAGAGAGCAGAGAGTCTTTGCCAGTCTTCAAGCTCTACGGGAGATAAGGAACACCGGAAAGCCAGGTCCCAATTATTAACCGAAAGCTCGGCAATAGAGATACTTGGGTTAGGGCAATAAGAGAATAGAGTGGGGAAGCTCACGGAGAGAGGTGAGTCTCCACACCACTAATCAAGCCAAAAGCGAACAGAGGAGCCATCTCCAACCACAAACTTAACATGATAAAAAATAGAGGTCTAACTTTAACCAAATCCCACCAGAATTGGGATCCTCCTCGGGCAGAGGCAAACAAAGGACTAGAGAGAGGGAAGTACTTAGCTTTGAGGATCGAGTACCATAAGGATCCCATACCTGTAGTCATGATTTTCCATCACCATTTAATCAGAAGATACTTATTCATAATGGCAGTGTTAATAATGCTCAACCCCCCAAGGTTTTTGGGTCTACACATAAGTTTCCACCTGACAAATCTGTATTTCCGCTTATTATCTGCAGCGTTCCAATAAAATGCCCCTCTATGTTTGTCGAAGCAAATAAAAGCCCATGAGAAACATTGGTAAGGAGGATAGGCAAGCGTTGATCAGCGCTACTTTCCCAGCATTAGTATTATATCTGCCTCACAAAGGAAGGACCCTGTTGTCCACTTTAGCTACAGCTGGCGCAAATTCTTTCGCATAAAGCAGATCAGGGGAAATAGGGAGGCCCAAGTATTTAAAGGGAAAGGATCCCAACTTGCAGTTGAGGAGGTGGGCCACCCTTAAGGCTTTGGTGTCATCCACACCGGTAACAATGACGTCACTCTTAGAGAAGTTAATTTTAAGTCCCGACAAGGCTTCGAAACAAAACCGAATGAACTTGAGGTGGGCAATACAAGAATCATTTAGGTCGACCATAATGATAGTATCATCTGCATATTGAAGATCAGTGACCCCTTCCGGAACAAGATGTGAGATGACAGGAGAGATGTGGCCTTGAGAGGTTGCTCTAGATAATATATGAGATAAAGCATCCGCAACAAAGTTGAACAAGATAGGAGACGCAGGGTCACCTTGCCGAAGGCCCCTACCATTGGCAAAGTAATTACTGACCTAGCCATTAACAGAGACCACAGTATGGCCCCTCGAGACCAACTGCATGATCCAATGGACATAAGCCCCATCAAAGCCTTTTGCTAGAAGCACCTTTCTCAAAAAAGGCCAGCCAACCGAGTCGTAAGCTTTCTCAAAGTCTAACTTTAGAATTACAGCTTTAGATTTACAAATCTTCAGACCGTGCACAATCTCATGGAGACACATGATCCCATCAAGGATAAAACGACCTTTAATGAAAGCAGGTTGGAAAGGCCTAATAGTTATGTGAGCTATAGAAGTAAGGCGAGTGGCAAAGCCCGTAGCCGGAAATTTAGCAAAATTATTAATAAGAGCGACATGTCTGAACTAGGATATGCGCTCCGCTCCTTTTACTTTAGGGATAAGAGTAATAACCGCGTAGTTCAGGCGCGAGATATCCACCGTGCCTAGGCAGAAACCCTAAATAATTTGACACACCAACCGGCGTAGCTGTGGCCATAACTTCCTAAACAAGGGGATAGAAAACCCATCCGGGCCAGAGGCAGGATTTGGGTTAGCAGAGTTTATGACCTCCCAGATCTCCTTATCAGACAAAGGAATCATTAGCGCATCATTCTCATCAGCCAAAATCCTATTAGCATTATCCCACAAAGAGGGCAAGATAGAGAGGCCACTTTCCTGTTTGGCCCCCAGGAGAGAGGAGAAGAAATCCACGACATGTGCAATAATCTGGGATTGATTCGAGCATCTAGCACCATTAATGATGAGGCTATCGATGAAACACCTTCTCTTCTCCCATTAGCAATAGCAAAGAAGTAGGCCGTAGGAGAATCACCTTTAAGGGTCCAGTTAAGGGTACCACGATGATGCCAATAAATTTCTGCCTGCTGATGCAACTGCATCAGCGCGGCTTCTAGGTTATATATGATAGACCAGTCGTGGTCAGAGAGGCCAATCGAGTCAGCAGTAAGGTCCAGGCTCGAGATTTGATTTTCTAAGGAATTTTTCTCCCTGCGTACCTCCGCAGCCCTATTGCAAGACCAGCCCCTAAGAAACTTCCTCAACTCGCAAGAGCACTTGTGCCAATCATCCATGGGGCCAAAGGAATGTGGGGAGGGGGAGAGTAGAAGTGAGATCTTAGAAGCCAGCATGGGAATGAATCCCTCCACAAGAAGCCAAGAGGCATCGAATTGAAAGCGCGAAGAGGCCATAGGAAGATTGAGGCCAAAATCAAGGATGAGGGGCGCATGGTCAGAACCCACTGCAGGTTTAGCTTTCAGATAAGCACGAGGAAATAGAGAATCCCAGCCAGGGCAAATGAAAGCCCGATCCAGCACCGACTGGACCGGATTAATCTGATGATTAGACCAGGTGAAGCGAGCTCCCACCCGAGGAAGCTCGCGAATGGTGAAAGCACAAGTGCTCCCTAGGTGGTTTTGATAATTGATGACAACATATCTCTTGTTGGACTAACATTTCTATCTAGCATGTTTCAGATAAGTTCAACAATGGAGTGGCATGGACTAAAGGTCGTGGGAACTCCTTCAAGATGCTAAGGACAAAGGATTGGCTCAAGCTCAAAAGCTCAAGACTCTTCATTTTATATTTTAGTGATCCAAGATCACATCGAATCTTTAGGAAAAGCCAATACTATCAAGGAGGGATGAGGTGTTGCTTAATGAGCCTCTTGCTTCATGTGCTTAGTGATATGCTCCAAAACCCTCAACTACTTTCCCATATCCTCATATGACCTAAACCCTAAGCCAAACTCGGTCATACCGATTCTTTCTATCCGGCGCCACTGAGTTTCACTTGTCATAAGCCACTGCCAAACCCCAGCAATTCGGTTCTACCGATAGGGATCTCGGTCTCACCAAGATGGGATTGCAAACTCTCTGTTTCCCTTTCGTAACTTTTCGGTCTCACCGAAAGAGCGGATCGGTCCCACCGAGATTGCAATGTAAATTCAATGTTTCCTTTTTGTAACTTTTCGGTCTCACCGAAAGAGCAAATCGGTCCCACCGAGTTTGCCTGACCAACTCTCTGGTTAGCTAATTACCAAAATCGGTCTCACCGAGTTTGTGTAATCGGTATCACCGAGATTACGTTATACCCAAACCCTAACCATATCGGTCCTACCGAGTTGCATGTCAGTCCCACCGAAAATCTCTAACGGTCACTAGGTTTACCTTTTCGGTCCGACCGAGTTTGTTGATTCGGTCCCACTGAGATTGGAAAACTGTGTGTAACGGTTGGATTATGTGTGGAGGCTATATATACCCCTCCACCTCATCTTCATTCGTGGAGAGAGCCATCAGAACACTTCTACACTTCCAACTCACATGTTCTGAGAGAGAACTACCTACTCATGTGTTGAGGCCAAGATATTCCATTCCTACCATATGAATCTTGATCTCTAG